ATCTGAAGTTCAGTGCTCAAGCAGGCCTGAGAAATGGAAGATGATAGAACCCACTGGGCAAAGGGACGGGAAAAGAGTTTGGGGAACAAATCCCATGTGGTTTGGTTTGGTTTTTTTTTAAATTGAGTTTTGTTTTTTTCCCTTTTGCCAAACTACTTTTATGCTTTACGGTCTTTCAATTGCTGCATGAGTCTACAAAATACAGCTTGGGGATCACATTCACTATTGATCAAACGCTAATTGTAGGGTGTTAGTGGAGTAACCTGCCATTCATAAAAATGCCCTTGAGAGCAGCCAGCCCTCTTCTGTGTTGTGAAGGCTTGTGGGGTTTGGCCCAGCTGGAGAAGCTTGACTAGATAAAAGTAAAATTGCTTTTTGTGAATATTCTCACCTGGGTGTCCTGAAACAGCCTTGTCCAGAAAAATTAAGGTTAAATACAGCTGCTCTTTAAGGACTGTGTTTAATTGCATCCGGTTTTGTTCAATTCGCAGAAGAGACTAAAACTGAAAATGTAATTTTTAAAGGCACTATTTTGGGTGGTTTTGCTTAGCGCTTGAATCCCTCCCTCCCCCTCGCCAGGATAATGCTTCTTTGACTTCACAGTGCAACTGAGTCCCTGGGAGGAGACCTGGGTGTGTGAGGGGTTCAGGTTCCTACTGTTTTTCTGTGTATTAGGAGTAACATCAAGAGAGAAGAAACCTCTTATGTTGTGCAGTCTGAATGTAGAAATTGTGAACTTGTGTATTGACTCAGGAAGTCTTTTGTTGTTGTTTTTAAAATGTCAAATGCTTTTCAGTTTTATTCATCAGCAAAATTATTGTGCACTTTCTCAAGCTGCACAAGGTTTTTCATTGCTTTTGTCCTGGTATAAAAATACAACCAACTGGAGATTCTCCAGAGTTAAAAGTAGATTTCATAGAGGAGACTGTATGTAAAATTCTGATTTAGAAAGAACTATAATCTTAGCTGCAGGTCGAAGACAGAATTTAAGTGTTTTATTTAAATGTAAGTTTGTCTTGAAAAGCAGTGAATTGAAAATGACACCTTCTTGCTCAAAAGATCTGGGGTTTTTTTGTGCTAAAAGCTTTGACTATTGTAATAGCCTTGTAAAACCAACACAGCTGGGCTCTCTTCCTTCTTCCTCTTTTCTTCAGAAATTTCAAGTATGCTTAGACAGGCTGCTCTCATTTACATATATAACAGGCAAAATTTGAGCAAATCGAGTTATATATAAAATCACTTTTGGCCAATAAAGAAGTGGCACTGGAGCAATAAATGGGAAGAAAGTAGTCCAATTTAACTTTTAGATTCTGTGTCCCGAGTTTGCTGCCATGTATGACATGAGCAGACTGAGTCTGTAGACCTGTCTTTCGTAGTGGGTCCCACCACTCCCCATTACTACAGCTGATTTTTGTAAACTGACTTCTGTTTCCTTCATTGAGAAAATTACATGGATTTCTTTCTGTAAGTGGAAGTCTCTCCCTGCCTGGGTGTGCTCTACCACTGACCAAGCATCGGCATGAATGACTGCTGTGTCTCCCTAGCCCTGCAGATCAAACTTCTCCCACACCCGTGCATACAAGAGTCCCTACACACTTTTCCTCTCTGCCTACTGCATATGAGCACTTATTCCTTTGAAGATTAGAATATAATCTTTTCCAAGTACTTAGTAGTAAATGAGTTGAAGACAAAGGTACTGCTTCTTTAGTCCTGACTTTAAATATCCTAGACTTGTGTGATGGGTCACAGTTGCTGCTGCCTAGTAATTTTTAGGCAGCGAATGCATTTCCTCAGTCTTGTGCTCTGCTTGCCATAGAGCTATTGACAACCAGTGCCATAGCATCAGCAGCACTAAGAGGTGGCTTTTTGTCTTGCAGGAGAAAAAAATAAACTTACATTTGCTGACAGTCACACAGCAGTGGAAAGGGACCTCTGGAGCCAGTTTCCTTCCTCAAAACTAGATCAGATCAGCTGTGACTTTGGTTATGTCTTGGAAACCTTTCTGAGAGGATATCACAAAGCTTCTCTGGGTAACTCCTTCCAGTGCTCCATTGCCCTCCTAGTGAAGAATTTTTTTACCAATATTGTACCTGAACCAAGGGCCATTACTGCTGGTTATATTGTTGGGAACTACTGGGCAGTGCTTAGCTCCATCATCTCTGTCACTACCTTCCAGGATGCTGGATGAAACCAGTTCAGCTCCCTCGACCTCTCCTTGCAGACCTGTGCCCAAGATCCCCAACCATCCTGCAGATGATCTGCTTGAACCTCTCTGATTTTCCCCCATCTCTCTTGAACTGGGAGGCCCAGAGCTGGACATTCTATTCCAGTGAAGCCTCACCAGCTCGAGTAGAGGAGATTAATAACTTTCTTTTTTTTATTCTTTTTTTTTCTTTTTTTTTTCCTCTTTCTTTGCACTGACCCCATTTTTAGTGAGTCCTGGTATCAATTTTGCCATATTTACACAGAGAGGGCACCACTGGCTTGTATCAAGACTGGTGCTCCCCATTGCCCTTTTTGGGAGACATCTACGTCAGCCCTACTTTCCCACCCTGTGCTGGCCCACAGAGTTGTCCTGCCCTGGGTACAGTACTCTAAGTTGCTCCTTGTTGCACTTTGGGAGGGTTCTTCTCCCCTGTCCTGGAATTTACAGGGCCTCTGGACTGAGGCTCTGCCATCTTAGCTGTATCACTGGTTTAGCTTTGCACACAGGCTTGCAGAGGCTGTGTGCTCCATCATCACCCATTGCATCTGCATGAAAAGCTTTAAATAAAAAGGCCAGTGTTATACTTTGTACTTTAAAGTGCTGTGATTCTGCGGAGTCATGAATTGCACCAATGGTAAGGTAAATTTTCAGATAGCTGGCTAATCGTAAAAGCAAGAACTCAGAGCATTTTGGAGATAACATTGTAGGGGACTTAGCAGGGGATTGTCAAGAACTTATGGAGAGGGTTTCCATAGAAAATTTACTGAATTCTCCAGAGTTCTGGGTGTGATGACCTTTCCTGTTTTACTTTTTCTGTTTGTTGCTGTTTATTCAGTCATTCTTGGTTGCCATAGTTACAAACCTGAAGTAGTTCCTGGAAAGGAAAATCTCCAACTAAGTCTTGGAGCTGTGTTAAGGAGAAAATGTAAAAGTTTGTGATGAAATAGGTAGATAAGAATCATATACTGCTGTCAGATTGGGGAATTAAAATGTATTTTCAAATCATACACATCATATATACAGTTTATTTAGTAGAACATATTCTTTCTCACACATACATTTCATATGCAAAGTAACGTGAAAGGTGCAAAAAAGAAAGGTTAACTCATAGTGAAAAGGCTGCAAGTTTCTGAATGATGGAGGCAGTAGCAAATCATGTTTTGAAAACCTACTGTTTTGGAAAGTGCTTCCTCTTGCTCCTCTACAGATAATGGTGAAGATGATGATAAAAAGCTTTCTTTGCCTCTGAGCTCCTTGGGTGCCTCAGCTGTGGTGATAGTTTTAGTACTAACAAGTTTTAAAATGCTTGTACATTAGGCCCAGTGTTAGATACGTGCAGCTGCCCACTCTCACAATCAATCATTTCTATGGAAATCAATTGACGGCAAATTGTATTTTCAAAACTGGCCCCCTTTCTTTTTAATTTGCTCCAGACAGAAGGTAATTTCTTTTCACGTTTTTAATAATGGGAACATCTACCCCAGAATGAAGACTTGATTACAAGCAATCTTAGACCATTTTTACAGCTGTTTTTAAAAGGCACAGAAATGGATTTCTTGATGTGAAAATGTTTCTGACCAAGAGCATGAACCGTGCCAACATAATGGTACAAGAAATGGTAGGCTTAAGTTGCAACAAGGAAACCTTTAGTTTAGGCTCAGAGCCAAACTTGCAAATGGCATAAGGGTGGTGGCATACCAGAAGTGCTGACCAAGAAGGGCTGAGGCATGTCCAGAGATGTTTTGTGAAGTGCACAGTACAGGCTAGAAGGAATTCTTGAAGGAATGAGGTGGCTAGAGCTGCTCCAGTCTTCCAGCTGGGAGCGAGGAGTGTATCAGACAGGTACTCTCTATTTTTCTGTCATGTGAGGCTTGATTTCCTAATTCCCCTCCTCCAAGAAAGAGTGAGAAGACAGGAAGAAGAATTTCATACATGTGTCATGTTATAGCTTTGATAGAAATACAGTGATGTAGAAATACAGTTCCTCACATACAGTCTTCCACTAAATGCCATTTTTGAAGGGGTCTTTCGGTTTTCCTGTGTGGAAACAGTTTTAAAATTGCAAGAGAAAACCATGCTGATTCCTCAGCAAACATAATCAGAAATGTTTGTTGTTCAAGGAATTGCTGGTACCCAAGAAACTCCGTTGGGTTTGTATATGGGGCAGCCTGTCCTGTGTAGCAGCCCCGACCAGTGTATAACGCTCACAAGAGGGAGGATTCACTATTATCCCAGGCTGGCCAAACTGTTCAAAGTAAGTAAGTCCCAACAGTGACCTTTGGTAAGATTTACAGAAGGAAGGAGCAGAGTCAGACTTTTGGCTGGATACTGCCTTTTAACTCTCAGATGCCTTCTAAGTTAGAAAGAAGGTTTTGAATAGTTATTTTTATATTTAGCCCTTAACAACAACTTTCTGATCATGTTGGCAAAAGGAAAGCTGGTGCAGCAATGACAAAAGCTGATTTTAAGTGACATTCCAGTGATCTGGGTAGTTTTCCTCTGGCAAGCCTTCCATATTTAGTAGATACCATCAAGGCTAATGCTTCTTTTGGTGTCACTCTGTCACTTTGCTAATGCTGGTTCCCTTTTCCAACATTTTTCCCCTTTCATCTTTAAAGGGAAGAAAAATACGGAAGAGGTTCACATTCACCGGAAAAACATTGTCCTTCTCCCTCCTGCACCCTCCGTGCCATGGGCAAGGTGATCCTACTGCTGTGTCAGGGATAATGCTGTCAGCGTCCTGTCAGGCAAGTGCGAGCTAAGGAAAAACATTCTTCCACTGCTGGCAGTCCCATCATGTGGCACAAGGCTTAAAGACAGGACATAGTTCAATAACCTTTTTCAGGTGTGTTTTCTCACGAAATTCTTTTGCAGCGAAGTAATAAAAGATGGCATCCAGGCAGCAGTTCAGGTTGGCTAATATCATTGACACTTGAATGAAGAGGCTGATGGTTTGTTTCAGACTGCAGTCCACTATCACGTGCTGTCTTACCAGGCACTGTAGGCAGATCGCAAGATGGACAGGTGTGAAGCACACCAAAAACACCACAAGGTTGATGATAATGACTCGTAAGGAGCCACTGCCTTCTACCTTCTTTTTAGCTTGACTTTTGTGATTCAGAAGAATCCAGATGTTTTGGACAGAGCAGAAAACCATCACTGCAAGTGGGATCAGAAATCCAAAGACTTCCAGAGAAACAATGAGGGGGATGCTCCACGCCTGTTCTGACATGTTGTAAAAACATTTAAAATAATCTTTCTTGTGAAACACATACATTGGGCTGCTGCAAAGCCACGCTACTGCCCAGATGAAGCAGCAAATCAAGATAGCCCATTTGGGGGATTGGTTAGCTCGGCCTTCAAATGGGTGCCTTATGCAGATATACCTGTCGACAGTAATGCAGACAATGATGAAGATACTGCCGTACGTGTTGACAAAGTAGAGAGACTCTATGAATGAGCACAGGAGTCCGGGTGCTTCTGTAATAGAGTAATATAGCTTGAGTGGGAGTGAGAGAAGCAGGAAAACATCTGCAAGTGCGAGATTGATCATGTAAACTGAGGTTTTGGTCTGTTTCTTCCAAAAGCAGCAGAACACAGAGAGGGCCAGGGCGTTGAGAACCAGCCCGAGAATGAAGGTGGGGATGGAGATCCCCAGCCTCAGGGTCTTTGCTAATCTGTCGATGTCTGTAAAGTTGCATTCCCCGCTGCTGTTGGTCATTTCTACCCTAAAACAACAGAGAGAACAGGTTGGAAATGTGTAAGGCTCCCAGTTTATCTCTTGATATATCAGAGCAAGATACTTTCAAACACAACTCTGGGCTTTTTTGGTTTTGAGTTAGACACTTGATCAGTCTTTGGCTATTATTGAAAGTGAATCCTTATTTCAAGCACAGAGCTTTCTATTTCCAATTTGAGTGGCTTGAGCTGTTATAGAGGAGCCTGATTCTCAACGGCAGGTAGTTAACATCCACTGACTACCATGCCCTTTAAGATAATCCCATTCAGATATTGAAGATACTGACCCATTCATACATGTTTTCAAAAACTCTAAAACGTACTGGCTATCTCTAGTAACTTGTACATTTGTTGAAACTTTCATAGCACTTACATTTGGTTTCTCTGCTACACAGAAATCCATGAAATTATTGTTCCATATTAAGGAGGTCAAACTGATAGCTGGGATTTTACTGTAATATCTGTGATTCTCTATGCATCAGTAGTTTTTGCTGATCTGCTTTTACTAAACCTGCATTTATATGGATATTTTAATTTCACATAGTGCTTGTATCCGATGCAGTATTTTAGAAGGTCAGCTTAACAAGACTGATCTTTTCTCTAAGTACAAATTGAGTAAGCGCATTTTCTAGCTTGTGTTTAGATTTCAGCATTGGTTACATTTTGGGTTTGCAAGTACTTTAAATTTTAACTGATTATCTTAGATAATCTGGCAAAGACTAGCAAATGGAAGGCATGACATCTTAATATAGTTCTTTAAAAAAGTGTAATTTGTGTGGAATAAGTGTTATCACTGTTCTCAAAAATATACATGTACTTTAACAAACTATGCCTTAAAAGTGCTTTTTGATAACCTCTTTAAATCAAAATCACAAAAAATCCTAATGAAGGAGAAGAAATGGTAGTTAAAGTTCCCAGTCCAGCTCAGCCAACCAAGTAGCTCAAAGGAAATTTTAGGAGTAAGTGAAGAGGTTTTAGGAAGAACTTGGTCAAGAAGGTAATCTCGGCTTTGGAGGACAAAAAGTAACAGGTAGCTCATAAGCACTACCAAATAGAGCTGGACTTTGCTGAAGAAATCAAAAAACAATTAGTGAAAGATTTTTTGTTTACTTGGCTAAAATAAAATATAAAAGAGAGAGAGAGAGAAATGGAGAACAAGCAGATCTGCTAAATGTTAACTGAGGAGGTGGCTTCAGGTTTTCCCAAATCTTTTACCTCTGCTTTTCCAAGGGGTGCTGATATTGTACTGGAGGTCAGAGGTGGCGTGACTTACAGGAATCAGTGAGTGATAATGGAAATAACTGTATCCGAACACAGAATGCACTCAGAGCTCAACATGCTCATATTGGTGAAAACAGTTTATTTCCAGCTCAGACCGCAGAAAGAAGAGGCACATAAAGCTGAAAGACCAACGCGGTAATTGTTATGAAGTATGTATGTTATTAGGGTATCTGGAAAAGGATCAATCTGGTCTATCTGTTGAAGGAATGAGTGTCAAATGTGATTAAAGCAATTCTATAACTGTTGAGTCAAAGCTTCTTACAGATTTTTTAAAGAAAACTGCTAAATAAGGCTTTGACAGATTTTGCCAGACCATTATCTTCTTTGATGAAGTGTCTGCTTTTTCAGATAAGGGAAAGTCTGAAGATCGAAGGCACTTGCATTTCAGTAAGGCATACTAGAAATAACTGAATAGCACGAGAAAAAACGGTGATTAGAAGAAGGGCTGTTAAGTAGGTGGGGAAACGGTTGCAAGAAAGCTGATGAGAACTACGAACAGACTGGATGCAGGTTACTAGAGGGATGCACAAATTCACCGAGACTGCTCCTTGGAAGTGTTTCCCCCAGTGACCCCATTGTAGGAGCGAGTGTGATCTGCAGGGAGGTGCTGTTGGTTGGGGGCCAGACCCGACTGCCGCTTCCAGAGAACTGCACTGAACCACATGAGTTGGTCTGTCACAGCTTTGTGAACTTAGGAAACAGCAAAAGGAAATCTGATTGTTATCAGTGCATTTATCTGTTAGAACAGAGAACAAAAAGAAAATCTTGGTTTGTTAGTCAGTCTGAGACTGAGTCGATCCCTTTGAGCCAGCAGTGTGTGGCAGCTGCTTAGAAAATCATGTGATTGTGGTACATGAGAGGTGAAAGAATTCCACTAAAGGTGGAGAAGCATTGATGCCAAGTGTACAAGGGATTATTGTAGGCAGACGCTGCTGTCATCTGAGGGCAGGACAGGTAAGAGGAAATAGGAGCGTTGTGCTGTTGCGTGATCACGGGTGTCCTGTGACCAAGAGCATCCATTTAGCTGGGGAAGAATCGGATGACATGAAACATTTTGGGGCAGCGACAACACCTGTTAATCCAGCACTTTATGTGCTACATAAAGATACTAGAAAATTTCTCGTGATGTCTCTTAAAAGTCTGAGTTTTGATTCTACTTTTATCAAGTGTCTATCTCACTGAATACCTTTTCTTTAGAATTCATTAGTACCAAATTACATATAGCATCACTCCTGAAAATGGTTAATTCCAAGAAAATGTTAGCCAGCCTTTAAACTGGTAATTTCAAGTACTCTAATGGAGTGCCTGATTCTCAAAAACTTGATTTTTGAAATCATTTTGCCTCCCTCAAATTTAAATTTCACATCTTGGGTAATCCAAGGGAATTGTTTGCGAACAGTCCGCACTGAGTAATATGTTTGCTCAAACTTATTTGAAGGTTCATTTTCATTGACTGATAATCTTGCAGTCGTTTCATACGCATCACCTTTACTGCATTGTCCAAATTATTAATAAAAATACCGATGATACTCAACCTGAAAGATACTGAGCTGTACCAAATACATCTTTCCTGTATGGTAGACACTGATTAGTATCTCAGTGGGTACTCACTAATCATATAGAAGTTTCATATAGATCAAGTTTCCTTCATTTGCTTATGAGAATTTCTTTAGAGATAGTGTTTGAAGCCTGTTTCCCCTTCCTACGCTCCTTCCCCCAGTGCTATCAGTGTGTCACAGAAGAAAAGCAAATGACTTCTATTTCAGTCATTCTCCAATGAATCTGTGCAGATTGTTACTTACCGCTGTATTATCTTCTGGGTGCTTGCAAACAGATTCTTTGGTGGGTGACTCCAATATTTTTCCAAATACTGAAGCCAGGCTTAGTGATCTACTGTTTCCCAACTCCTCCTTTTCCACCTTCTGAAGAGACAGGCACCACGTTTGCTCTTTTCCAGTCTTCTCAATAAAATTCCTCCGTTCTCTATGAGTTTCCTGGAGGAATTGCCTGCAGCTCTAGGATTGTTTCAGACAACTTCTAGAAGCCAAAAGATAATGTAAGAACCTGTAATTAACACTGCTTGAGGGAGTGTGTCTTAGCTGGTCCAGATCGTGTGTTATCACTGCTCCATTTGTTCTTGATTTCTCTGACTGAGTGAGGATTTTCCGCTTCCTATGGACTAGTTAAATGTCAATTTGGTTTACCGATAGCAGGAGCTTGTGGTTAAGCTAGCAGCAGAGGAGTACTGACCTAGGAAATGGAACAGCAAGGTTTTACAGTATTAGCTTTGCTAGGTTTTTTGCAGCACAGCAGGATGCATGAATGTTGTCCTCTTTGTAGCTCAGATCTGAGTTCGTCTGGCTCTAGTTGGGATTCACACAAGTCTGTATGTTAGCACAGATTGGGGGTGACAGATTAAGGATATTCTTATCCATGAAAGCTTCATTAGCAGGAACATCGTCATCATAAAATCTATAACTTACTGTAAGTGTAGGTGTAGCTTTAATAGTAAGGAAATTATAATCTGATGACAGAACAAAGCAAACCAATCATTCCTAATCTGCCTATACTGCAAAAGAGGAATGAGGAAAATTCAAGTCACTGCTCCAGCAAGGACTTTCACAGCGTTTGCCGTAATGACCCTTCCAATCAATACAAACCAAGTAATGTTACTACTATGAAGCAGACTTTGTTTATATCTATTTTCTAGAACGTTATTCGTGTTAGGTATACATTATTCTCTTGTGGATACACAGGAGAAGAGTAAGATGACTTAGGGCAATGAAGAACAGTAAGTCACATCTGCCATATATTTTGTCTGTAGTTGTATAATTTCTTACCATTTTATCCTAAGTATTTTGACTGCAACAGAATATACTTAGGCTTATCTCTAAAGCAGAAATCTTTCTTCTCTAAGCAAAGCAACACTACGTGTTTGATCTTTGTAAGAAATAATCATCCAACTAGCTTAAAAATAGTGCTCTACAATCAATGCTGCTATCAAATTATTAAAAAATCCCAACTTATTAGTTAAAATAGGAATTACTTTACCTGAACCCCAGCAAGTGGATCAGCAGCATTGCTTCAGTCCAGGTTGTTCTATAGAGCATGAGAGTGTTTGCTTACAGACCATACCCTACCAGTACTCTTACTAAATGGCATAACCACATCCTCCTTTTCTTCTCTCTTTTTTTTTTTTTTTTTCTTATTTCAAAGCACCCTC